GCGTATATTATTATTTAGTTTATTAAAGTGGAAAGTAGCAAGGTTTATTTATCTTAAAACAATAACTTTGTGAGTAACAAGCATTATTATATAAATTCACTTATAATCAGATTTTTGGTGCTGATACACACAACGAGTCCGCAGTATTTTGGCGAAACTTTTATCTGCAACAATAAAGATATAAACCCTCGTAAATATCAACATTTGTTTTTGGTGATGATGATGGTAATGAAATTCCCTGCTCAGATAAATGCGACGACCATCCTGATTGCAAATTTTGTTCATAAAATGGACAGATATTTTAGACGATTGCTAAACAATATGATAACCACGATGGATTTTGAAACCAGATAATTTTAATAAGCCAATGACATTTATAAATAATTTTCTGTATTTTATTTGTATTTTAAAATATTAAAATACATATAACCCATCAAAATTAAATAAAAAATATCGCATATAATAATAAATCAAATAATTTCACCTTTCATCGTTCCAAATAAATAGAATTTTGTTATTGAAACACTCATTGTTCGTAATAATATATTTAAGTGAATATTAGTCTAAAAACCACGACTATGCCACTAGTGTATTATTTATGGGCAAAATGTCCCCCAAATAATGGCTTACAGTATATGCGAGTGGGCCAACAGAAAAGCATGTGGCAAATTCTCGTATCATACTTGACAACTATGTCTTAATACTAGGGCGGGCGAGAGAGAGAGAGAGAGAGAGGGATATTATAGCAATAATATTTATAATATACAGACTAGTATACAGACATGCAGACTTTTTCACGTTTCTAGCAACTTTATTAACTTTTTATTAACTATTTAATGTTTTTGTATTTTTATACAAAAAAGTCCATGAATTTGTATATAATTCATTGATAGACTATAAAAACAAACTATTCAATCTGTTAGAAAAATTGAAAAACTGTAAAACAAATTATAAAACTACTGTACAGTATCTATATTTTGATCTGGAAAAAGATTTTTAAGTCCTCAAGAGTTGGCCTGTTTTGAGTACTCTATTCAGCTAACTTATTGTGATATTAAACGCAGTTTTTCGGCTTATAAAATGAGCGAGTACCTATTTCAGGAATTTTTTATTAACATTAAATTTCTTAGTGAATATCTATAAATCTAAATTTATGTAAAATTTTATTTTAAATATTAAATTCTTTAATTAAAATTTAAATTTGATGGTAATAAAAAAATTACTTGGCCAAACCTGATGTCTTAAAATATATATTTTATATACTGTACATTCAGGTATTCATTATATACTTTAGTTGTATATTCAGAATATACTTTAATTTTCAGCCATGAAACCTCGGGTGCCAACTTAGCCAGATCCTGACGAAGTTCTTTGTTTATTTAGTAACGACTTATACATACTTCCTATCCTTGACTATACTCTACACGAGTCATCAGCAGCACGTGTACCTCACGTATACCTTAGTCATACCTGTGCCTCACGTACAGTACTTTCCACTACAGTCGTACTGTACTCATCTATTCTCACAATTAGCTCACTAATAGCTATTTAAGATATGGTTTCTCTATGCCATACAATTAGTCTTATCAACACACCATTATCAACAGACTTCACTCATCACACCACACCAGTCGTATCGCAAGTGGTGGCCAAACCTCAACCGTTTCATCAGACACTCCCACCACTTCTCGCATACACTCATCGAATCTCTCCAACGCCGTAAGAATTCAAAGTCGACGCCCACTCGAGTCTTATCACAAGTGGTGGACAGACTAACACCAGAAGTCACATCTGGTTCTCAACCTCTGCAATACCTGTCGGCTCATCCGATTTTGCACAACTTGTCGGTACACTTGCCGTACCTGTCGGCTCATCCGATACGGTATCACGTGTGGACACGACTTACGTCCCAACTGTCGCGCCTCCTATTTGGCTCAACGCATCGGTACAATCATACCTGTCAGAGCACTCGGTTGGACTGAGCCCTCAACACTCAAACAGCCCCACCTCTCGGACACATCGATTCAGCCCCAAACACCGACACTACATACACATCATAGGAACTGGTGGACGACTTACCATCCCTGGCACACACATGTCAGGCCTTCGCACCCCCGGACTCAACAAATGCTCAGCGGCTCACAGCTCAGGCCAATCTGAGGGAATCAGTTCCCGGCCTCTCCATAATGGCCGATGTCGTGCAGGGGTTCCCATTGGGAACTACACCTGTGCGGTGCGTGAATCAAGAGTTGGCCCCCCCGGCACCGATGAAGACCTTGGCCGGCCCTACAGCCACAAACAGCTTCTCTCCGGACACTTCTACTCAATGGCTCACACCGGCGAACAGTCGGTAGCCATTCAACCGATGGATTCCACGGCACTCGAGTACATGTGAGGACCAGTCACTACTGGCGCCCTCCGTGACTATACAAACAGGCCCTCCATCACGAGTACAGACATCACAACCACAGCCATTCACTCCATACAACCACACCGTTCAGGTCTACTGCAGCCCTCAATACATAACCAGTTCTCACATTTAGCTCTAAAATGCTATGTTTAAGACCAGGCATCCCATGCCTTCCCAATCAGTGTATTTCTGGCACACATTGAGTGCACATCTCTTTTGTGTGCGTTTGATATGTATTTCAATTACTAAGTCTTTGTTAAATAAATGGTTAGTTTGTTATCATTGGGTTTATTCATTATGTCCACAATTGGACCAACTCATTGGGACGTCAATCAAAGAACCTGTTGTCCAGTACACCACCCTGTGCTCTGGCCATACATCGTTTCTATATTAAAATACGGTATTTTATTTTTTCACTGTATTACACGTGTAAAATGTATTATACGGTATTTTATGGTATTTAAATACGCTTTTCCCATGGAAATTGTATACTAGAATCACTATGTATCCCCTCCACCCATCCGTGCACAAAAGTCCCATGTTAAGTCTATGGGATTTTGAAATATGGTGCAAAATTACACATATTGTGATCTTAATAATTAGAATAGAGTATTTTGTAATCATAAGCCTTGGTTTTACATAACTATAACACACGTAAGATTCGTTATAAAGGTATCCGAATTGTACTCTATAAACAATCTAATATCCGTTGAAAGGGTATATTAATTGTACATTTTTTAATCAATTTAGTTCCAGTCAATTCACTTGTTTATGTATAAATTAATAATATTGTTTATTTTTGCTTAATATTTACTGTATACTGATTTTATTACACTTTAATTACATTTATAATTAACATGTAAAAAATTAGTTAAATCAAGGTCAGTTAAGTGAACAATATGTATAAATTAATAATATTGTTTATTTTTGCTTAATATTTACTGTATACTGATTTTATTACACTTTAATTACATGTATTGGGATAACTTTGGACATATTGGACATATTGGACGGTAACTCATATTTAATTTGCCATTTGTCCACCCAATACACTATAACCTGAGTACCAATACAATAAATACAGTTGCACCACATTACAATTACATTATACGCCCATTTTGACCACCTGTCTCATTGGTTCTTCCCACCACGTGGAGTATGACGCTATACTCTGCTTATAATTAAGCTAGAAAATGATATAGTTTTATTTGTCAAGAAATAAAATATTTCCTTTTAATTTAGTTTTTTAATTTAAAAAAATTTCTATTAAAATACTGAGTTTGGTACAATTTTAAAATTAAATTAATTTTAGTAAGAATTTTACTATTATAATTAATAAATTCTATCAAACAATATTAATTTGTAAATTTTGATTTTCATTTTGTTTTACATTAAAAAAATTTACTAATATGTTGTACTGTATTTATAAATTTAAAATATGATTAATTAAAATTATGGTACAGTGGTCAACACAATTTGTATACGGTAATTGTAATAATTAATTAGATATCGATATAATTTTAATAAAAATACTAAAACTGACAAAATTGTTTAATAAAAAAATTAATTAAAATGTGTAAATTATTTAAAATATATTTGATTTTCAAATTTTTAAAATATGTAGTTATTGTTTAATCCATCATAAATAATAATTAAAATGCTGACTACCAAGATGATATTATTATTTCAAATCACTCCTTACAATAAATAATTGTCAATTTGTTAGCCTTTAATAGGTCTATAAATGTGTTTAATATTAAACATTTTACAAGTCCTTTGTTGGAAATAATTTTTTAAATCTCTTATAGTAGCAAGCTAATTATTACGATTAAAATATAATTCTTTTTTCCAACCAATTGCCCTTGTCGAGCACATTAGTTTAGCTTGGATAATTGAATTATTAATTTTTAGATTTATAGGAGCTTGATTGTCCATGTCCATGGCAGTCTGTCGTAGAATATATTCAAAATCCTTTTCATTTGAATATTTTTCCAAATTTCCCGCCAAGTATTTTCCATAATAAGTGCCCTGGATAGTATTTCGTAGTGATACAAATGCTAGTAATTTGTTTAAAATATAAAAATGTTTAATAAAATTTAAGCATGGAAAATATGTATAATGTATAATATAAACGTACTATTAACTGTTGAGTAGCATATCATGATATCACCAAATAATGGCACAATTATATCATCATCAGTGTCAAAACTTATATTAAATGCGTTAGTAGCTTGGCGATTTATTTTAACAGCTTTAGGGACATCACCTAATTAATAAATAAATTAACAAATTAGATTAATAGTTTTAAATTAACTAATCAATGTACTATATTACCTCCACGACAACATAGAAATATAAATATTTTAGGCTTTCCGGCTAATTCCGGTACTTTATCGTTACTAAATTTGCTTATGATATCACTGATCAAGATACATTTATCATCCGATCCAATGATTACGGACTCGTCGCCGTGTGTCGAGAATACGGCAACAAAAGCATCATGGCCGTTTAATTGCATTGTGTCACCTAATATATCATCAAGCTTGCTCAGTATCTCGTCACCCTTTAAGTCCGTTATTATATTATTTTCGTACGTTTCAAAGTGTAATCGCTCAAATTGATCTCGAAACATGTTTACGTCTATTTCGGCCCCTTTACGATAACTAGCCTTGTTAAAAGTCTGGTTCAAGAATAGGCAACAATAACCACGAGGGACCGCGCTCATTTTATAACAGTGATCAGATGAACTTGCTAAATATTTAAAGATATAATATTTAAATTTTATTTTATTTTTATATAGATTGTTTATATATTTTTATTACATATTCATTTTATAAACTTAATTGTTGATTTTTAAATATTTGCTAATTGTTTTATTTATAATCAGGCACAGAACTCAGCGCAAAAATTTTGCACTCTTATCTACATTTAATCCCTTTATTTACATACCAGGTGTAATCCCTTTCCAGGTTTGATAAACAACATCATGTGATTAAAGCATGTGATTTGAAAGCATGCAGTAATGTATTAATGATGTCCAGGCACAGAACTCAGCGCAAAAATTTTGCACTCTTATCTACATTTAATCCCTTTATTTACATACCAGGTGTAATCCCTTTCCAGGTTTGATAAACAACATCATGTGATTAAAGCATGTGATTTGAAAGCATGCAGTAATGTATTAATGATGTTGTGATTGAAAATCATTTTATTACTATTTTATTTGAATGTTTTATTTGATGTATAAATCATAAAATAATTGTTTTAAATCGAGTTTTAAACTGATATTTAAAAAACATTGGAAATTGTGATTTGTTTTAAGTGTATCAATGGTGTTGTGTTTGGAAAAGCTTTTTATCAGTTATTTTATTTGAACGTTTTAATTGGTTTTTAAAATAAGTTTTTATATCGAGTTTTGAAGTGACATTTAGACCAAAAACAGTGGAAATAGTGATAAGTGTTGAATGTATTAATGGTGTTGTGATTGGAAACATTTTATCACTTATTTTACATGAATTCAAATCAATTGAATTGCAATTCATTGACAAATTCACTGCATTTTCCCTTTCAATACCAAAACACAAAATATTATTTTTATTTTTAAATTATAACCAATTTCTATGACCATAATTAATAAAATTGAATTGTCCAAAAATTTGTTTTACACCGTGTATACATTTTCTACTTTTTGAATTATTAATCATTGCGCTGAGTTCTGTGCCTGTTTATAATAAATAAATGAATAATAAATATAATATAATTTAATAATTTCAATTAAAATTATTTAACTCACCTTTAGAAAGTGACATATTCTAAAATGATGTCATATATTTTAACTGTTTGAATATATTATTTATATAAATACTAATACTTTTGCAATAATATAATATACTGTATATGAAATTACTGTACTATTGATAATCGCATTGTATTTGCAATACAAAGGAATATAAAAACTTATCATAACTAATACTGATATAAAAGTGATTACAATACAGATAAAACCGGTAATCATGGACATAATTTGAAACAAAGAAACTTTGCGTCTTATTTTTGTGACACAATATAATTTAATATAATTTAATATAATATTAAATATATGTTATAATATATACTATAAACACCAAAAATTTTAGTATCAAGTGAAATTACTAATTTCTTTTATATAGCAGTGTGTATGTGCCTTATAATTTTTACTTAATATTTTGCTAAAATGGATAAACAAATATTTAACGCCCTTGATAAATTAAATACCACTTGTGAAGCTGATTTCTGGGAAGTATTTGAAGAACTTGATGCAATTATATCTAATAACCCGTTTGAAGAGATTTTACCACGATCATCTCAAGATATTGACAAACCGGAGAGTATTGTGTTTAATATTTATTGTGCCTATGTAGAGCAAAATATTCAGCATGATTATATAAAACAAATAACAAAATTCTATTTTTATGATACTTTTGCTGTAAAGTATTTTGAGCTTGGTGATATAGATATCGCCATCAAGTATCTTACATTGTGGTTCAGCAAGAACTTTCAGCTTGAATTCAATAGTGATTCATTTGTTAAGTATGCTGATGAATTTTATAATTGTACAATTATGAAACACTGTCATAAGAGAATTAATTATTTTAGCAAACTAGAATACTTGCTATCTTACATAATACTTAGCCAGAACGTTTATAACATGGCTATTGGATGGATAGAAAAGCAGATTGAAATGCGCAGTGAAAATACTAAAAATGACGATGGTTATTTGTGCGAGTTATTTGTAGCAGGGTATTTATATGTAACTGCAGGTGAAATTGAAAAAGCATCAACCTATATTACTAAAAGCTATCACGTATGCCAAACAATTTACGCTAACACAAATGACACAGATAAATTTTTATCACAAATGAAAATGATTGCAAAATATTTATTTTGGAGTGATCAAGGCAATTGTCACATTTTACTGAAAGAATTAGTGGAAACTGTAACGGCAACTAACTTGCACAATTGTGACGAATATATTAATTTAGAAAGTATAATGTATTTTGCGGCAATTTCAAATGATAATTTAGATCACGATTTGCTTGATAATTGTTTAAGTATATTGAAAAATATTGAGATTAGCAATGACCAAAATAACGTTGAAACTATAAAATCAATTGTAAAAATTAAACTGCATATTTTACATTTACATGAACTATTAGAGCAACCCGATAATATGCTTGATGAAGTTATCAATTTATATTTATATTTAGAACATATAGATTGCCAAGATAGCAACATTTTGCATAATCTACTTGGTAATGCTTATATTAGTTTGCACGACGAGTTTGATATTGGTTACAAACATTTTATAAAATTTGATTCAATCATGTTTGATAAAGTAAAAGCGTTTTATAATAACGATTTAAATGCAATTGAGCAATTAAATTTATGGACAATGTCGGAAATTGAGCAGTTATTAATGATTGATAACCACGATGAAATAACTGCTAAAGCACCTTTATCATCCACAAGTGATGCATTAAGATTGTTTTATGAAACTCTTTTACATAAGGCTCTGGATCATTTTAACAAATCCGGTGATTTACTAATGCAAAGTATAACAAAACACTTATTATTTAACGCACAATCCACCGAAGTATCCATTATTTTATACCCAAATAATTTTAAAACCAATTCAGCTAGGCAAATACGAGATTACTATTACGAATCATTTAAGTCGTTCTCAAAAATAATTAAATTTGACAATGAAGCTTTAAATGATGAAAATATAGACACTTTCTTAAACCACTTGACTTATATACAATACTACCAGGTTTATACATTTAAACCTTATGAAATGGTCCAAAATAGGACAGTAAACATTCTAATAGACTTTACCAAGGTGCTAATATCGGAGGAAAAATATGATATTGCTTTAAAATTAATAACCGGATTTGAAACAAATTATGAAAAATTGCTTGACGAACATAATTTAAAAAATATGTCAAACATAATTTTAAGATTAAAAGGTAAAAAACAATATTTAATTTAATATAATATTATTCATATTAGCTTCCTCATATATATATTTAATATTGTTGAACACTATAACAAAAATAGTATATTTAATATAATTTTTATTCATAATTATTATAGGTCTAATATCTTATTATACGGGAAAATTTAACGAGGCACTAAAATATATGGGGCCAACATTTGACCTTGATGACCAGGATAATATATCGATATTAACTTACTTTATCGTGCCAATTTATAAATCATTTACAAAACTAGGCCACCACGATGCGTTAGAAAAACTTTTAGAATTTTTCGAAAGTAAACTAGATAAACATCTCGACACTTTGGACAATGATAATAAACTTTTTTATGAACATCGTTTGCTGTACACAAAAATTGTCGAGGTACATTTTTATTTATCATTACGAAAGAATGAGTCAGCTAAATCTATTGCAATCTACGAATCAACTATGCGTGATTTAATTTATCGTGGAAAAATTAATTTTGCTATTAAATTACCGTATAATATTTATGATAATAAACCTAAAAAATTAGCTATGGTCTATAATATCAGCAATGTAAATTCCGATCGTCTCGTTAACTATTTAAAGAAATATGAATATTGTGTTATCAAACGAAATATGTTTAATATTGATGAATTAACTGCAATCCAGAAATATGAACATTTTAATAAATTTGACACATTTTTATTCGTTGCTTTTGTTTACGGCTACAACGATAAAATTTTATTGAACCCTGATGAAGTGGACCACCATAAATTTAAGGTAATTTAGATTATTTTAAACAAACAACATGTCCCTTTTTCTATTAAAAATATTCAAAATTTGAATTTGTAATATATAGAATTTGTTAAATTTATTTTTAATTTTAAAATGTTAAACTCTTAGTACGAAAGAATCGATAAGATTGTGCGTGAGGGTTTTAATAATCGAAAATTCAAAGCCTTTTCAAACAAGTTAAAACACTTGATTAATTACTTGAGTAATTACTCTGAACATGAACATTTTGAAAAAGTAAATCAGCGCGATGATTATGCTAAATGCGAAAAATATTTAAAATCATGTGTCGACTTTAGCAATAATATAAATGATGATTTTTATATAAGCAATACAATTGTCCAACGAATTTATTGTGACAATAGACAAGAATTAGATAACATTGATTTTCACCAATTAATTAATTGCAAGATTATTGACAAGGTAAATGAATTAATTCACATAATTATTTATAAAAATAATTTTTGTTTTGTATATATTTCAGAGTGAAAGTATAAAAAATATCATTCAACTAATCGGATGTATAAATGCAGGCCAAATATTATATAACAATAATGTCGTTCAACCCGAAAATATCGAAAATAGATTGTGCTTGATTATATCGCAAACAGAATTTTTCAATGATAAATATGTGAGCGATGACAAAGAGCGATATGGCGATTTTTATGATAGAATTATGCTAGGGCATAGATTTTTAAAAATGAAATACAAACTCGAACTAAATTACGATTTCAAGAAAAATGAACTTGAACAATATTTTGAGAGTCTTTGCAATAATGAGAAAATGCTCCAACAAATAGACTCAATTGTATTATTTATATTGTGTCATGGAAATGAAAAT